CCCACCAGGGGTGTCCTAATCTCAGCAATGCCTATTTAAAAAAAAAAAAAAATATATATATATATATATATATATATATATATATATATATAGTATACATATACATATATATGTATATACATATATGTTTGCTATTTAAAATTCCCTTATGAATAAAGTGCAGGAAACTATTTTAGTGAAACCTAACTTTAAAAATGTTTTCTCTACAAAATAAATATTGGAAGAGAATTGAAAGCATGACATATATATATCATGAGATGCTAACCCTGAATCCACTTGAGCATAGTACATCTGGGATGTCTAGTTTTATCCTTTATAAAACCCTGTTCCCTTTTCTAAAAAACTTGGTTCCTTTTTCTTGTCTTTGTTCCACGCTGTCTTTATACTCCAAGGTCATGTTCAAGAAGTAGAAATCCATTCCAGCTTTCCTAACAATACAAACTTATCAAAGAAGGTGGGGTTGGATATAAGAGCTGCAGCTCACGGTTCTTGGCACTGTGGTTTTACACTCACCAGGGTGGATCCCTCCTCACCACCACCGTGTCCTGCCCACCCCTTTCTTTAAGCGTTGGTTCTCTCACCCCCCACAATTATTCATCCAGCCCCACCGAATAATTTTCTTCCCTTTGCCTGGCACAACAACAAAGCCCCAAGCAGGAAGGAATGCCTCTAACAGGCGGGTTGGACAATAATGTAATCAGCGGATCAAGGAGACCTGGTGTTCAGAGAGCCCAACAGAACAAGAGCCAGGCTGACTTCTAGGACCAGGACATTACCAGGAAACCACAGTCACCAAAGTATGAACATCTAAACCAAAAGGCTTTTCTCCAAGCGAATAAAAGCATAGGTAAATATTACCTTCTCCTGTAAAAGCTGTAAGCTCCCACAGATATTTTAATTAGAAACAAGTTTTCGTGAGAGCAGCTTGGAAGTGAAGTAGAGTTGGTTGCCTCACACACAGAAGAAGATGCAGGGCATATATTTTTGCATGCCCTTCCCAAATAATCTCATAACCAGGGTCCATAATGTTGAAAACAAAGTTGAGCCACCAAGGACCAAATGGCATACCTATTAGGCAACAGGATCCACACTCTGTGCAGAAGGAGGCTAGATGGGGAGGTTCTCAGGAGACTGTACCACATAAACACACATACGAGAAAACTTGTGGGTTTATGATCACAGCCAGAAGTCCATGAAAGAGAGGCAGCATGAATTATCTCATTTCGACTTCCCAAGGAAAAAGTTGACGGAAGGCGCCAATTTGAACTCATGGCTTTAGGGGATGTGAGCCTCCCACAGCATGTCCCTAATCAATATGACCAGTCACAGGACCTCTTGCTATGAATGTAAGGCATGCGCTTGATTTAAGTGGTGTTTTCCACTTAAGGGAACTGGGGACTGGAGAGATGGCTCAGCAATTACATGTCCTTACTGCTCTTGCAAAGGACCCTGGATCAGTTCCCAGAATCCACAGTAGGTGACTCACAACCATCTATAACTCCAGCTCCAAAGGATCTGATATCCCCTCCCCTCTAAGGGCACCTGCACATACATGATACACCCAAACTCACACAGGCACATGTACATCAAATAGATTAGGTATTTTAATAATAAGGAAGGAAAACAGAATCCAATTACACCCAAGAAGCTGTTCATCCCATCTTGGAGGGGTGCTGGTTACTTTTACTCTCTGAAATGTAGTTTTCTGTTTTGTTTACTGTGTTTTTCAGACTTACTTATTTTATGTGTAATGACTGCTTTGTCTGCATGTATGTGTGTATACTGCATACATGACTGATGTCCACAGAAGCCATAAGAGGGCATCAGATCCCCAAAATGGAGTTAGAGCCAGGGTCCTACATCTTCTTAACCATTTAGTCATCCTGTCCCCCAGTCTCCAAGTTTCCTGTTTTTAATAACTACTGAAGTGTGATACATCAGGTTTAAAACTACTCCATGACTAGTTAATAGCAAATGCCACATTCAACTGGAAAAAAAAATGTTAGTCCAAAATTAACAGTTCACCTAAAGAAGAAAATAAGTGAAAACATTTAAAATAGAGGAGAGAGGTAGCTTGGCTGTGAAGGCAGTTACTGCCAGTTCTGACTACAGGAGTTTGATCCCCACAACCCACAAGGTGAAAGGTCCTGAAAATTGCCCTTTACCTCCATACACACAATCAATCAATCAATGTAATGCATTTTTTTAAAAAAAAGAAATTAAATGTTCAAGGATGAGGGTGTATCTCAGGGGTAGAGAACCAGACTATCATGTATGAGGCCTTAGGTTTAAACCTCTGCACTGTAAAATTCTAACAAACAAATATAGGTGCGATCGTAGCTCTCTAACTTATTATATAAGTCTCGAGTGCCATCAGGAAGACAGTATCAAAAAACAACAAAGAGGCATGTTTGAAATGAAATGAAATGAAAAGCATCAAAATAGTTTCCATATTCTGCTAAGACAACATAAACTAAAAGCTGCCACCTTATCCAACTAGTTCCAAACTAACAACAATTCCTTCAAGACAAAGGCCACCACACCTAACAAGCACATCTTTATATCCCCAGCATTTAGCATAGAACCTTGGAAAGAGTCACTCAACAACACAAAAATTTTACAACTATATATTAAAGGCCTGGTTCTCATCCACATTCACTCTAATAATTCAGAAGCAATGACATTGATAAGTTAGTAAAACTAGGGAGCATCTACATGTTGAGGTAGAAATCTCTAGAAGAAATGTTTCTAGACTGAGGAGCAGCAGCTTCAGATAATCCCCTTAAAGTGTCAGACATGGCTTGTGTGACAGTCTGGTCCCCTTCCACGACATCCAAAGCAGAGTCAGTCCTCAGGAGTTTGTACTTTGCTCCTACAGCTGCCTCAGAGGGCAGCGTGATTCCCAACTGCTATCTGCCTAAGGGGACACAAGGCCTTGTCAGAGCTGGGGACACGCAGAAGGCTGGGCTCTCGGGAATGTCGGAGAAACAATTTGCAGTGTGTCTAACTGTTCGCAGGCTTGTAAAATATTGAAACAATTTTTCCAGAAAGAAATTTCAAGTACATTTTTCCCCTTCTGATTAAAAGTATTCACACTGTTGAAAAAGAAAGATGTTTTCCAGGAAGCTTAATCATCTTGCTCGGTAGATAAAATAAACTTTTTTCTTTCTAGAGAGAGAATACTTTCCCCTTTGCTTGTACAGTTTGACCACACACACACACACACACACACACACACACACACACAAAATGTTCATAATCTGAGATCCCAAAACTGATTGTTTTTTTTTTAAAAGACATGTCTTACACTGACCTAGTTTAGGGATTTGGATGCCTTTAAAACTGCCAGTGAACTGAGACCCATTCATGAGAATGGGGCTTTTGAACGCAGAGAATATTCTTCGGGGCTCAGCACAAAGATATTTGGCATCGATGACTGTAAATATTTGTAAAGCCCTGGGTAAATGGTCCATGTTTGACCACACTCAAGCCTCACACTGCAGGCCTGAGTTATCTAGGGTGATTGGCCTGGGGGATTTTAGGTCAAGTTTTCTCTTGCTGTTTATTTTAAATAAAAAGCCAAGCAGGCCAATTCTGCTACTTGACATCTTTTTTACATTCACTGCACATATAAATCTTGTTATTTTCACTCCTCCAGACGGCACTTAGAAGGTACTTTGGAAACAGAATTCTCTCCCCCTCCCCTTCTCTCTATCCTCCTTCTCCCTCCATCCATCCAACTTGATGTCCACTCCAAACCAGGAAATGCCAACCAAAGGTACCCAAGGACAGGAGATGGATGAACGGGTAGCCTTGGATGTCATAATACAGCTGTCTCGCGGTGGTTTTGTGGATCTGCTTTGGATCCCTTTCCTTCCTCCCTCTCTTTCTCTTCAAGGTAGTTTCAGAAATACTTAAGGGTCTGATGTCCATGGGGAAAAAAGAAGAAAAAAAAAGAAGAAAAAAAAAAAGCGAGGTTTACAAAGACCCAGTAAGAAGGAGGGAAAACCAGCAAGGAATCAGATATGAATGGAAGCAGAGACCAAAAGGCTCACCTCAGGGAAAGCTGAGGCAGATATTTTAACTGCCAGCAACCCAGTGAAGACTGGCTGGACTCCTTCTGCCTTTCACCCACACCCTAAAACCTGAGTCATCTCAAAGTTCATTTGTTTTGCTTCTGGGCAGAGACACCCCTCATCCACTGCTTCGGAAATGCTGAGGACACTATCCTTTGGTTCCTACCTCCCCAGGTTCAAATCAACGTCAAAAATGCCTAACCAAAAACCCTGATAGTCGTGTTTGGACGTCCAGCTCATGTTTTGGTAAGGTACGTGGGGCAGAAAGCAAGAAGCAAGTGACAGACCCAGTGGAAACATACAGGGAACTGCACTCTAAGACATCGAAAGTGTAAAAGGGGGTGTGCATCATGAGGGACCTCGTCAGGAAGGGGTTCTGGAAGGGGCTAGTCACGATACCTTTCCCCTGTGAAAACAGGATCACTTTCATTTTAACATCAACTTAAAAACAGGGCAGAGCCTCTCTCTCTCTCTTCTATCAGCAATTACCTGATAAAAACAATCACTATAATGTTCAGCCCAGACTCCGCCGTTAACGTGACATATTATTCATAGCTCTGTGTGTCAACATATCACCGTGCATTTTCAAATAACACAGCCAAGACAATGCCAACTGTCAGTCTCTACTCAAGACACGCCAGAGAACTGGTCCAATATGTAATCTATGATACATTCTATAAAGAGCATTTTATTAGAAATGAAACTAATTTGTTTTGACCTTTACAAAGGCACTTTTTTTTTAAAGTTAACAGGTGTTTGAGGCACTCAGAATACATGCAGTTTTGCATGGCTTAAGCCCTGGAAATAGAATTTAGCAAAAACCACCGGATAGCCTCAGTCCCGTCCCTCTCGGTATCTTAAGCAAACAGCCTTCCTGGCTTGCACCGCCTGCATCCTGCGCACAAGCACCCCTTCTAGACCTACCTGGCTGGGGCTGAGGTCTTCAGGCTGCTGGATTCTCTCTAGCAGGTCCAGCCTGGGGCAGCCGGGGCAGCTGGCACACCGGGAAGGAGGGGCTCTCTCATTCTCTCCCCTCTCCCTGCGTGCTCCGCCTGGCTGACAGCTTTACACTTTTGCAGGATTGCCACAGGACTCCACGCCCAGACCTACAGCTCGGGAAGAGGAGGAGTTCCTCTCCGCCTCCTTGTCTTGACAGGCAGGAACCTTGCAGAACCAGCCAGCAGCTTGGGGCGCAGCAGCCAGAGCGTTTATTTATACAGGAAGCTCGGCGCCGCACTTCCTACTTCCCATCTGGGTTGCACTTCGACTGCAGGTGATGGCCTTAACCCTGTCCGATCCCATGCAGGCAGAGCGCAGGGTAGTGGCTCAATGGTTGGGACCTGGTGCTGCCGCGGGAATCCCGAGCTGGTGCGGGCAACAGCCCACCGGCAAGCGGCACCCCAGCCTTTGCGCTTGCTGCCTCTCTGTGCAAATCATCACAGGCCACTTTTCCTCTGCTACTTTTAACAGCCCTGATTTGCCTTCTCCAAACTCTACCCCAACGCATCTTCTCAAAACTCAGTGCGTACCTGTGTCTGTCCATGTGCATCTGATATGAGCAAATCAAGTTAGGAGAGGTTTTGGTTTACTTACAATGATTTCACTTCAAGTGCTTTGTCAACAAATGTGGAAAAGCACGCGCCAGTAATGTAACTAGTTGTACTCTGCTTAATGACAGTCTAACAGCTAATCCAGAAACAGGAGTAGTGTGCCACGACTGCGGACATCTGCTTAATACTGTGTTTTTAATAGACAATCTCACTGCCAACCTCCATAGGTCACCAGAACAGGCCCAGACCTGTTGAACCTTGCGGGTTTAAAAGATCCTTCTTCTGTCTGTGGGCTCTGTGCTACCTTGTTTACTGTAGCTGCTACGGTCAGCATGGGCTCACAGGGGCTTTCTGGGACAGGTGAATGTATATGGTGACTTAGCAGAAGACTGTGAGTGTGTGAGTGTGTGAGTGTGTGTGTGTGTGTGTGTGTGTGTGTGTATGAGAGAGAGAGAGAGAGAGAGAGGTGGGGGGAGAGGGGAGTGCTAGAGAAAGAGGGAGGGGGTCTGCAGAAGAGACAGTAAGAGAATACATAATAGAGATCTAAAATTATACAGCCAAAGGAGATGTTTTGAGTTTGCAAAGTCCTAACTACTTTAAGTTTAAAGACGATGTCTTTAAGTGGCTGCTCAATCGAGACCACCATTGTAATAAGATCAAAATCTGTACTATCGAGAAAGATGTCTATTACCGAACTGAGAGGAACAGCTGGCTTTAGACTAAGTGGGGCTTAGGGTCCCAAACAACCAACCCCCAGAAAGTAGCCATTCCTGATGGACAGGAGACGGGAAAGATAAGCAGAGCACATCCAGACAGGCCAGTTCATTCTTTAGTGCTGATGCCAATCTTCTGAGCCTCAAGCCATAGCTCCAAGGAGTCCACTTTGACATCACCATGCAATTAAGGTGCTGGCTCTTATCAGCAGGACCCGGGGAAGATGCCACTGCCTATATGAATGAAAATGCAGGTTAGGCAACAACCGTGCTGCCTTGGGACACAAAGATTTGTTGTTTATTTTTTTTTTTTAAACAGAACTGAATCACATCTCCATGGGTTATTTTCAACCATGTGAGTTTACAAACATCGCAGTCAAAATTTAATACTAAACACTCTGAAAGTTATGGTAATGTGCAAAGACTCTTTCCGATCTGCCTAAGGAGTCTGTGGGTGAATGTTCACCCCTTCCAGTGTTTATTGATCTCTCAGATAAGCTGCCTGGAGCTAGAAAGATAAAGGTAAGTGAGATAGCAACCCTGTCCTTAGAGACCTCTCAATCCAGGGCAGAGAGTAAGACAAGCATACCATTTAGTAGGACATCATGACCACATGACATACTTGAAGACCACGTGCCGTGGTGACATACAGAAACCATCTCACCGAAGGAAGGGCACTGGGGAGAATCAAGGAATATGTCTTTCAAGTCATGGTTTCAAACTGGGTCTTGAAATAGCTTAGAAGGAGATGTGGAGAAGACCGAGCCAGGCAGAGCAGGCAGCTAGTGGGGTGAAGTTAGACTTAGACTCGAGATTTTAGGGAGGCTCTTCATAATGTAGACAGAGCCAGTGTGTTTAGGATGAAAGGAGAGCTGAGGGGCAAATGGAAAGAGGCTTCAGAAGCAGAACTGGTAGAATTGGCCATCTATTTGGATGTAGGCGATGAGAGAAAGCAGAGCCTGGGCTGCTGGTGTAGCTGGGGGTGGGGAGTGGTGAAGAGGAGTGGAAAGGAAGCCGATGAAGACCCAACTTCAATCCTGCAGGATCTCACGAACCTCTAGGCCAAGTGCAAGCACCGTCTAGTGGGCTATCCAAAGAGGACTGACTGAGTAGAACGCCAGTTAGGAACTAATTCGTTTAGGCAGTGGCTACAGTTGAAGTCCACATACTGTGAGGGAATCACAGGCTTCTGACCCTCACACTCTAAGGCTTACTTTTAATAGCCGTGTGATTTCCCACAAGCTATTTAACATAATCCAACTTTTGCACCCATCAGACAGCTTTTTCATCTAATACTAAGAAGGATGAGAGGCTGGAAAGTGGTCTAGTGGTTAAGAGCACTGGCTGCTCTTCCAGAGGACCAGGCTCAATTCCCAGCACCCACATGGCAGCTCCCAACTGTCTGTAACTACAGTCCCAAGAGGATCAGACCTCCTCTTCTGGCTTCCAAGGGCACTGCATGCCTGTCATACACAGACATACATGCAGACAGAACATTCACACACACACAATAAAATACTTTCTGAAAGTATGGCGTACTTCTGGCTTCCAAGGGCACTGCATGCCTGTCATACACAGACATACATGCAGACAGAACATTCACACACACACAATAAAATACTTTCTGAAAGTATGGCGTACAATGTATAGGCTGTTGCAAAAGTAAATGAGAGATCAGTGAAGTTGCTAGCACAGTGCCCCATGAAACAGAAACTCTCCAGATTCTGGGGAGATGGGGAGGGGCAGAATGTCAGCCTCTAGCACAGCAGGATGGTGCAATGCTCAGCTGTACACTGTGGTCCTGGCTGGTACAGAATAGGAACTGAGTCAATGATACACATCAACGGGGGAAGTGAAAAAGGGAAGGAAAGAAGGGGTTAGAAACGAGCCCAGAGATACAGCAGTCCTTGCTAGGTAGGAAGAAGGAAACTCTCGTGTATCTGTGAAAGAACTGCCTCATTTAGACTAGGGAAATAAATAGCCCACGGATACATCTCAGAAGCAAATCTAAACACCATAATCGGAAAGTCTTTTTATCTTTCTGAGTGTTGAGCATGGTTTATAAATTGCTCAGCAGCCTCATCCTAGGACCAGCATCCTAATAAAGCATTCTTTCTTAGTCTGAATTTCAGATCTTCCCAAAGAAAAGCCATGCCAAAATCTTGACTGATGGTTAAAATATATTAACTTGTAATGTATTTGGTCATAGAAAAGCGATACCCAATGGAATCCAAAGCAAATTTAAAGTTTTCCAGGCAGATACTTGCAATGCCAGCATTTAGGGGACTGAGGCAGGAGGATTGCCACGTGTTTGAAGCTAGCCAGAGCTACATAATAACATCCCTATCTTAAAGCAAACAAACAAACAAAAACTAAAAAGGAAAAACAGAAAAATTTTCCCTGAATCTAATAAATTAAATATAATTATCAGTCTATGTAAGTATAAAACAACAATAATATGTATCATATTTTATAGTAGGCACTGTATAATAGGTGATGTTATAAAATCTTGTAGTCTGCCATAAGAAAAGACTGAATGGGCTATCAAGAGGTACAGAAGTATCTGTTGCCAACACTGTATTTGATCCCTGGAACCTGCATGGCTGAAAGACAGAACGCTGACTCCCACAAGTTGTCTTCTGACCTCCACATTCACACCCTTCCCCACATACATTCAATATTTATCTTTTTATTTAAATTAAGTCTTGACAGGTATAGTGGTAGACACCTATAAATCCAGCATTCAAGTGACTGAGGCAATAACATCATGAGATCAAGTCCAGGCTAGGCTACACAGCAAGCAAGACCTTATCTCAAAAAGAAAATTTGTCACGATAAACTTTTAAGTCAGGCCAGGCAGTGGTGGCACAAGCCTTTAATTGTAGCACTTGGGAGGCAGATCTCTGTGAGTTCAAGGCCAGCTTAGTTGTCAGAGTTCCAGGACATGCTCCAAAGCTACAGAGAAACCCTGTCTCAAAAAACAAAACAAAAACACTTTTAAATCAAACTTAAGACAATTCACAATGATACTAAGAAAGATTTTCCTAAGTTCTGTTGGAGCCAGCTACATCAACAGCTAACATTTCATTTCTCAAACATGTATAAAGAAAGCATCACATTCAAATGGGCAAAATCGATTTAGAAAAGTCATAGCAGTCAACAACCACAGGAAACATAGACGAATTCCTTCAGCTTATAGGTTCACACTGGGGGGGGGGGGGGGGGCAAAGGATTCTTTTTGCTTTTGTTTTGTTCTGTTTTTGTTTGTTTGTTTGTTTGTTTGTTTTTAAGATAGGGTTTCTTTGTGTAGCCCTGGCTGTCCTGGAACTCATTCTGTAGGCCAGGCTGTCCTGGAACCCGTGATCTGCCTGCCTCTGCCTCTAGAGTGTTGGCATTAAAGGTAAACACCATGATTATCTGGCTAAGGCAAAGGATTGTTAAAACAGTTATAAACTTTTGATGTTGACACTGATGCTGCTTCAGTGGATTTGAAAATTACACATCCATCACCACCTTCACGGAAAAAAATGAAATTTGATCGTTTAATTTTCATGTAACTTGATCCTTTTTAGCTCATTTTCTGAAGAAGCGTTCATTTCAAAATGATTTCTAAAGTGATAAACTCATATTAAATCATAGGTTTAGAGCACACAAAAAATGGCCAAAAAAAAAAAAAAAAAAAAAAAACCCACTGTGCCAAGACCACGTAGACTTATGTTTCCACGTAATATCACTGGCAGGCAGCCTGGCAGCTTCCTGCCACCATGGGATGGAATGAATTAGTTGTTCTTAGCCAGCAAGGTAGTGACATTTTTCATTTGCCCATCAAGTATGCCAGTCTTTAAAGTAGATGTTTTTTATAATTAATATATGGTAACGAACACATAAAGATGGAATGGAACAGAAAGGATGACATTAGCCAGCTTGCATTTAGAAGAAAAAAAAAAAAAAACAGGGAAAATAGGGATCACACTCACTGTGTCTCAAATTGAAGGATGGGTGAAAAGCCC